CGCCCGCCACACCGGACCCATGCCGCGACCCAGCCGCAGCGGCGCCGCCATGACAGTCGGTCACATGACGCGACGCACGCACGCACGCCGGCCCCACCAGCCCAGCGTCCCTCGGCCAGCCAATCCAAAGCGCCGGCTGAGCCTCTCTGGTTGCCGGGGCGACGGAAGGCTATTTAAGGCGGCCTGGGAAGGCTGCTTGCTCTTTGGGCCTTGAGGGACGGAGAGGAGCTGGAGGAAGAGCTGACAGCCTCAAGTTCTCATAATAGTGACTAAATTGGCTAATCGAACCATGGTTTACTCAAAAAAAAATGCATGCATGGATCCCCCCCTGTTTTATATATACATTGTATTGCCATGCTATACTGAGCCCTTAACTATAATATCTGGATTTCCACAAGGGGTGAAGTGTAGCTTAGTGTGTTGTGGGAACACAGCCAGTGGTTGTGCAATGCAATAGCTTTCTTATTAGAGTGCCAGGGGGATGTAACCCTGCAGAATCAGTCTGAAGTCAGTGCCTAAATGGAATAAATCACATTAATTGTTAAGGTTCCCATAGAAGAGAATGGATGTAGCTCAGGGTTGAATGGTGGAGTCCTTGGTACACTCTGAGCTTGGCGGTTGGCTTGCAGACGTCTCATTACCCAGCTAGGTAACATCAATGCTGGTGGGGCAGCAAATGCCACCTTCCTTCACCTGATGATGTCACCTTGTTGGGTAATGAAATGTCTGCCAGCAAACCACCAAGCTCAGAGCACCAAGAACTCCACAATTATTAGGTGTTGGACAGATACTGGGAAGACCCAAATTCAGGTCCCCTGAAGCTCGCTCTCTCAGCCCAACCTACTTTACAGGGGTGTTGGGGAAGATGGGAGGATAAAGAGCTATAGAGTTGCCTTCAACTCTTGAATAAAATACAGGATATAAATCTTACAAGAATTCCCCAAATGTATTGGGCTTCAATAATAATTTTCCAGGAGCATGGCCATGGCAAAGTTATGATACGATTTTTGTTTATCTCTGAACTAGAAATCGGATTCATGGAGAATCTGAACATCATGGGGTTTGCTTGGTTCTGACTTTCAACTCAGCTGTGGTAGTTTACGTTACAATCAATAGTTCAATGTGGTGGTTGGTCTCCGATGTGAAATTATGTTCTTTAGGAGCGATGATGCAAAGACAGAAAAGTACTTTTGAATTTAGGTTCCCTCCATGATGAGCCACTCAGCTAAAGGTTATTGTGTATTCCTGATCAATTTTCTCCCCTCTGGGGATCCTCTGTGTTACTCCACAAGAAGCCTGACATTTCAAACCCAAGCCTGTAAAAAGGTATGAAAAATATCAGCGGTTTTGTCATTTTCTTTTTAAAAGAGCAATTTTATTAATGCATTTATGACCATTTTTGTTCATATTATTTACTCCTTCATGTGCAATTTTGGTTGCCTCATCCAGGATCATTCAGGCTTCCTGATGCATTTCTTTGGCTATTTCCTTTTCAAAGTTTGTTCAAAATAACTGTGTTTGCGTGGAACACCAAACTACAGCTGAGTCACCCACAGTTTAGATGAATATGCAGCAACAGTAATGCAGAGGCTGGATTTACTCAACTGCTCTGTTCCTTGAGTAAAGTCACAGGTTATTTAACTATACTTTATTGAATAAGCTATGGTAGGGTGAGTTCAAACATGCTAAGCCATAAACCAAAGCTTACAGGCCATAATGGCTGAGTTGACTCAACACATTAAGCAAAAGGCAAACAAGCCTACATTATGGCTTAAGCACATTGTATGAGTTCAGATAATCCTAGGTTGACAGTCTACAGTACAGCATTTGGTAAGCTGTCACAGAGGGGCAAGACCCAGATGAGATACTGTTTACTGTAGTTTGCTTTTTCCTCGTGGCATGCTTTTAGGTATTGCAATGGAGAAGGAGGTTGTCCAACCAGCCTTGATGGATCACCAGAAGCATCTTCAGACCAGATGTTTAACCACTCTGCTGCTTTTGCGTGGTGCTTTTACCCCTGCCCTTTCCTTCTGATCTCATGTGTGGTGGGGCTGGCTTTTATCCTTTTGAGTCATGAGATGATGGCAAGACTTCCAAAGCTTTGAAAACAGTCGTGATGCTTCACTCTGGCTTTGCCTCCATCCTCCAGAGATATCAAAAACAATTACAATGACTCAGGGGTCTCTGGAGCCCAAAACTCATAAATCACCATTAAAGACAGCAATTCCTGGGCTTCAATGTTTCACAAATAGAGATGCTTGTAACTGCCAATTGTTAATTCTAAGCACTGATGCTTGAGCTCAACCTGCCCCAGCATGCATAAATACACATTACTAGTAATCTAATTCATTGTCTGAATTGGTTTGCTTTACTACAAATGCTTTCCTCCAGTTATTTAAAAGCCAAGAAACGTTGGTTTTTTAGGTTAAAGATATGGGTGCAAAATAGACTCAGTGAACACATGTTGGCAGGAAACATTGGGAGTTAAAACTGAACCCATATGGTAATAATCAGGTTGGCAAACAGATTGCAAATTGTATTTTTTGTAACCCACACTGGGGTTTACCCAACCTACTCAACCGGAACCAAATTAACCATATTGTGGTTTAGTGTGACTTATGAATCAGTGTTAATGCTAAGATCATTTAGCTTTTGCATGACTTACATGCTAGAGACAATTTTGCAACTTCAGAATTTTAACGTGGTCTTCATCAGAAGGAATCTAAATGTACTTGCTGACAAATAAAAGCCAGGTTACCTACAAAGCAAGCGACCCTCCCCCCCCAAAAAAAGATTTAAAAAATGAATATTCCTGAAAAGGGGGGGCGGAATGAGATGGGTCAGAACCACTAGTTGTAATCCATCATTTGGTCACTTCTAACTCTTTGTGGCTTGAAGCTCATCCTGTCAATAACTGAGTCGTTGTAAGGTTATGTTTGTCTCTGAGGCACAGTATCCAGCCTCCTTGTTTTCCCTCAGCCCCTGTTTTGATTGCCTTCAGTTTTCCCAAGCATCAGGGTTTTCCAGCAGAAGAGAATCTCTGTAGCTCAGGGTTGAACTGTGGAGTTCTTGGTGCTCTCTCAGCTTGGTGGCTGGCTTGCAAACATCTCATTTCCCAACTAGGTAACTCGCACTGACGATGATGAAACATCTGGAAGCCAGCCACCAAGCTCAGCACCACGAACTCTGCATCAGGGTCTTCTCCAACATCTGGCCTTTGCATTACATCTCCAAAATATTTAAGCCTTAACTTCATTATCGGTGCTGCCGGAGACACAGAAAGTAAACGGGGTCTTTGGGCAGTGTCAAAACCAGTCGATTCATAATGCTCTACTGTAGTAAGCTTTAATGAACTAAAGTTCACATCATCTTTTGGCAGGTACCGTGGAAACAACTGCAATTGCTGAGGCCAAATTACCACGAAATGAGGTACAAGCTACGATAATTCTACATTAAGCTCAGTTTATACAATATAAGCACAGTCATTATTCACTACCGCAGTTGCTAGTTGATAATGTTGTCCCCCCAGCTTTGATATCTTAATTAATGCTTACAGTAGAAGAGGAAATATATTGCCTGGATTAAAGCTTCAGCAAACAGAAGCAAAATCCTTGATAATGGTGATAGGAGGTTCTTGCAAGATATGAAGGGGGTTACTCCTTGGGAGCTTGTTACCCGAGAATCTGGACTGTGTCCCCATGGTAAGTAGGAAGTGGAGGAGCATATGGGCGATGGATACGATTTCCTGAAAGACTGGATGTTCATTTGCCAGGTTTAATGTTAAACAGCAGCAAGGATGAAGGGGAAAAAAATGTGAGCTCTGATTAAAATGATAAAGAAGCCATAAAGATATAAATTTACGAATGGTAGTTTATTTATTTGGACCCATAGTAGCCACTTGTCCTGTTTGCTCTTGTATCTATATCTGTATCTCCCTTACTCTTGTGCCTTTAACAGCCATTTGGATTTGTCAGAAAATATCCTATTTACATTATTGCCTTCTCTGGATTGGAAGTTTCAACAGCTTATTTTTACAGATCAATCTGCTGATGGTCCCAAGAAGATACCAGCTACCTCTTTTCCTGATCAGCTGGCAACCCTGCAGTTCAGTCCTACAGGTCTCAAGTTTTGTGGGCACTTTCCCATCTCAGAGCTGCGTGCCACTGACCCGAATAGGATTTTGGCAAAAGGCGGTTGAGACCAAAGGCTTTGAGAAGACTGAAATCTCCATAACTCTCCCTCAAGACACTAGGCACCATAGAACTCCCTCCTTTGCAAGCCGGATGAACTTTTCTTTTCACTTCAATATAATTAAGCATGGTGACGATCAACATCACGTAACAATTCACATTTTCTCAAATACGTTAAGGAATACAAAAATCCAGTGTCTTCCTCCCCCGCCCCATTTCTTTGCATTCTCCATCCTGTTCTTGGACTTGGCATCTTCTGACAAAGGTTTCCTCCCCCATCACCCACTTACCTCTGGATTGCTACATCTGTGTACTTCTGGATGACATCCAAAGCAGTCGAGAAGCCTCTCCAGGGTTGCCCTCCACCCCTGCGGACACCCTCCCCAGAGGAATGGCGTGAGAACATCCCCC